TTTTCAATTTAGCTTAAATTATGATTTCAGTGAACACAGAAATGTTTTATGTTTAAGTGTACACGCGGTCATGGTGATGAGAAGTACGAAGTAAGTTTAATTTTTGCTGCAAAAGATCTGCGCTTTGGAACCATAAACGTTGAAGATAATTAATATTTCTTGGATTAAAAAAAAAAACACATTCTAAGAAGTATGAATAAAATAATATAATCACATTTGTCAAATAATAATAATACATTTTGAATTTAAAATAAACATAAAATTATAATAGTTTCATTTGTAATGACAATATAATGTCATAGTAACTCAATAAAAATATTTTAATATAAATATATAATCATGTGTTTTTCGTACTATCTGCTTAGCAGTTAATATTTTAAAACCGATTTTAATAAAAAAAACAATATTAAAATTGAAAACCATGTGATTTTAACAAACTTTTATTTTTAAAAAAGGCCCAATTTCCAAATTTTAAAAAATTCCTTGATCTTAATTTACATCACCAATGGCAAGAATTATCCCAGTTACACAAAGGCCACCATCGTTGTGTTTTTTTGGAGAGGACAAAAAAAGATAAATGACCGCTTGACTTAAGAAGAAAATAAAACTTTACAAATTGTTGTGAAATACTGTATATTATAATGTAAGAAATAAATCATTGGCTAATGAGTAAACATTGGATTGAAAAAAAAATTTAAACCACAAGTTGAATGCATAAAATGTCATATGATTACAGGTATAAGGATTAAGGGCACTATAGGTACATGACAAAGGGGGTAATGTAGCATAAATTATATTAGTATGTTATATACCTAATAGTATAATAACAATATAAAAATAACTTTAATGAGAACTTGTTTTCGACCAAATACAAAACTATACATTATTTGGGTGTGTGTATTCTTCAATGTGTTAAACACTTAAACACACAAACGACAAAACAAAATATGAAAACAACGGATTTTTGCTAAAGAGCAATATTAGAGTTGAATCTTTATGATATCAACAGACATTTGGTATTTGTTTACATTGCAAACAGTCCTTGTGAAATAGTCTAATACATACAATTTTGTTTACTCTAATATCTAAGCTCTATGTGTAGCTAAATCTATTTGAGTGGAAACAAAATGATATGGTAATAATATTATAGACAATTTAAAATAATTGTAAAAATATAAACTTGGTTTGAGCTTATTCTGCATTTAACTTATATTTATTGAATTTATACCAATATTTTGTTTATAAATAGTTAATTATTCATATTGGAAGGGGGTTTCCCATATTTTCTGAGCGATGCCTAATAAACGGTTGAGTTAATATAAATAATTATAGAAGACAAACGAATTATATATTTTTATGTTTTAATGTGTCCATCACGCCAAATCCTATATAATATACCTACGGGTTCAACGTGGTAATATAGAAGTAGATAAAATGAATAGGTATTTGAAAATAACTTATTTTCTCTGCTTATAGGTAGACATATTTCGCTATATTTTTCAATATTTTGAATTTTCATCTTTTATTTTATAAAGGGAAACATATTATATTTACAAAGCCATAAAAAACGAACAGATTGGTGTAAATTTAAAGTTCAAACGCTGACATTCTTTAAAATGTGTGGTCTGCACGTTTATGAAAATAAAAACACATGTTCGCGTTTGAAAAAAAAAACACATCCATACTTGTACACGTAAACAAGTATAGACCTATTTTTTTTTTTCAAATGGCAACAAATGTTTTTAAATCCAAAAATTTGTAGACGAAATTTTTTCAAACGTTTTTACCGTTTGAACTTTTAATTTTCATCAATTCGTTCGTTTTCTATTCCTTTGCATAGGTATTACAATTTTCCTCACAATATTACATTACATGTTTTATGTTAAATTTTGGCGATTATTAAGAAAAATGCAAAAAATAAAATAATACACGTTATGCAGACCAATCATACTCTGGGAAACTATTTTTGTTTTTGATTTGTTTTTCAAAAATATGACAATATTTATAATGTTGAAACACAGAAGTGTCTATAATGCCCAAAGAAGTTAATTGTCTTAATTTAACATTGCAGGAAGAGCCATTGTGGGAAATAATTAGTTAGATTTTTATTTTTTATTCTAACTACCCAATATGGCAACGAGATTAGTTTACTAATTTGTGTGGTTACAATTTATGTAATCAGGTTTGCAGCAGCATTGAAAACAATTAGATCTCAAATTTCCTAAAATTAAAATCATTCCATTTAATCGTCAAAAATTCTGAACTAGCTTCTAATCCATAAATGAAAATAAAAACACAATATTTGAACAATACACGTGCACGATATTTTTCTGTTTCTGTTCTAAAACTATGTTTGTACTTATAGAAGCCTCTGTCCCGTGGAATTTCAAAAGAAGATAAAAGTCAAAAGAGCTGTAATTTTGTATTTTGGTCGATTAAACATTTTATTTTTTATTTGTAGCCAGCCATTGACAACGTTAAGAAGCTAAGATTTACATTATTTCATATTACTCCAAAAAAGTGTTAAACGAATAATTGCATATGATATTCTGATAGCTTAATTGAGTTCGAGATTGCATACAAAAATATATTGGGAACATGTTGAAGTAAAGTTAGGCCTTTTGGGACTAGATAAACAGTTCGGCCTAGAAACCATATTATTTTACTTAGGCGTACCTTAGCTTTGACATGATTTTAATTGAATTGTAATTTACAATATCAAAAGTAGTTAAACCTGAGACATCAGACACCAAAAAACAGATATTTATAATATCTGTTTTCTCAACATTTTAATCTATGTATTTGTATGCACATGAGTAACCTACATATTTTTTTTAGCTTAACACGAAAACATGTTACTATTTGAACAACACACGCGCACGATATTTTTCTGCTTATGTATTAAAACTTAAAGTGTACTTAGACTAAGAGGCTTCTGTTATATAATTTTATAAAGGGTCTCCAGGGATATTTTAGGGTAGATACAGGGTAGCTTTTAGTCCTGGTTAGGGTCATTTAATTTAGCCCTAGAAGGCGGACAGTCGTTGGTGTGATCGACTAGCCGCACTGCACCGTAACAATACTTATTTAAATGTTTATTTGCATTGTTAGGGGGGGAGAGAGTTATTATTTCTGTGAGTTGCTATAGTTTTTCTAAAAAATTTACAATTACCCTATGACTTCAACGGGTACTCAAAATAACATTCTCTATAATATGGACACTTGTGTTACAAATTAACAAAAACCATATTGATATTTCCAAAGAACTGTACATTTGTATTTTGGTCGAAAAGACATTTTATTTTTGTTCTAATCTAGTAGGTAAGCTTTAGTCATCAAAACGTTATACATGTGGTTTTTATTTAACCTATGTACTTGTACATGAGTAACCTACATATTATTTTTTCTAGTTTAATATCAAAATATGTTATTATTTCAACAATACACGTGCACGGTATTTTTCTGCCGTTCGGAATTTTTAATCTCGATTCATGCCAAAAAAAGTTTCATCAATACGCCGAATTTAAATTATCATAATAGGTACATTTTTATTAAAATTCATTTTGAATTTACTTTGAGTAAAGTTTTCTAATCTGATATAAAGGACAATACTAAAATAAAAAGATTTACCTAGCGTTGATAGTCTGAAATTCAAAATAATGGGTAGATAATGTTATATAAATCTACCACTTTTAAAAAAAATAAGCACCCATTACACCAATCATTTTTTTTTTATGAATTAATTATAAATCTATGTCTAAGAAGAAAATTATGTTATTTGAGTTTGATATGGACTAGTACAGTCTCGCCACACGTTTTTCACTTCTTAATACTTAAATTTGTCATTTTATAGTTTTTTTTTTCCATTGAGCTATTGGTTATTTAAATTGATTAATTTAACCTAATATTCAGGGGAGTAGACAATAACATAATATTTCTTTAGGAAGTCACATATCTAGTTAATTTTTGTAGATGGAAATTATACAGACAGCATTCAATAGTTATATTATATTTTCTTATTGTTTCCGTTCACAGAATTGTCTCTTAAACTTTTTGAATTTTTAGAAACATTCAATGTGTGTTTTTTTTTCTCTAACATTATAAATAATTACAATTAACTATAACCATAAGACTAGTTGGGTAAAGACAGAAACATATTCTTTATTATTACTAATCTAGTAAATATTGAACAAAAAATAAATCAATTCAAGCACAGAAATTAAAATTCAAAGAAATCTCTGAATTTTTTCAGGAGAAAAAAATTTCGAGTTAGTCGTGTATGATGACCAAATATTATTATTGGTATACATTGTAGCTATTATTTCTATCCAATAGAGATAATAAAACGTACCGACTGTATTTGATAACCTAATGTAAGAATAACAACAATACGGCATTACATTTTTTTCCTAAAAAAAAAAATCAATCAATGGCGCAACTAGAGGATGAGGGGCTGAGGAAGTGTTGACTTTTTAAAAAATCTGAAAGCTACCTTTGAATATCAGTAAAAATTATAAACCTTTCTAAGATATACAGGAAAATTTGTACAAATAACGACTGTCTGTTGGTGCAATGTGATTTAAGTGCATATTTAGTTACTTGGGATGATAACCTTGATTTAAAGCCAACGCAAATTTCTATCCTAATTCCTATTTCAAAACCCTATCACCTAGAAGGAATGGAAACTTTTGTCTATATTTATCTTGCTCGAGCAAAGTTTTAGGAAGTTTTAGGAGGTCTGAATACTAATATTAATAATAAAAGTGGGACATTTTTTGGCTGAATCAACAGTGAACAATATTTATTCAATTTGAACGTTTTACAACATGTTTTTCGTTTTTCTGGCCTATTCTCTGCAAATAAAAAACCGAGGGCCCTCCTAAATCTTTGAGACGCATTACACATTTGTGTTGGTATATTTTAAATTATTGTTGTTTACTCTGTATGATCAGGTGTAGTTTCTGTATTTTTTTTGTTAACGGGTCCACATCGAAGTAACTCGGATCTTCAATCGTTAAATTCACTCGCATTCCTACGGTTGTTCTTAACGTTTAACATTCTCGTTTACCGCAATACACTCTCTCATTCGCATTATAATGGCAAACATCAGTTACTTTATTGTTTTATTTGTCTTTGTTGTCTTTACGTTTGCAGGCGACGACGATAGTACGTATAATTTTATATATAATTTATTTTTATACCATAATCCATATTGTATTTATATGTACTAACTCAATCTATGATTTATCTAAGCAGCTATCACATTTTCGCCAGATTTATTCAAAGTGGATGCCATGGCTGTCTATAAATTCACTGACAGTAATTATAATTTTTTTTATCTTAACTATACTCGTAATATTATGTAAACGTTATACTATTATGATTATAATCATAGGCGAACCTAAAACTTGATTTATAGTGGGGTCTATATAATATAGTAAATGTAATTTTTTTTAGAAAAAACACATACTGTTCTAAAACATGGTAAAAAATTTTAAAAAAAATTTGAACTAAATATCAACTAAAAAAAAATAATTTTTATACAATTTGCCAATCAATTGTACCACATTTATTAAAACGTCAATTACTTTGAAAACACCCGAAAATAATTACCATTTTAAATAATATTAACCATCTTTAATCTTTGTCTTAAAATAAAATCGTGGGACATTTGCACGGTTTTTTTTAAAAAAAAAAAATATTTTTTTAGAAAAGCATATTTATTTTAACTATATTCATAATATTATGTAAATTTTATACTATTATAACAAGAATCACAGCCGAAATTAAGACTTGTTTTTTGGTTGGGTCTATATAATATCGTACATGTAATTTATCGAGTAAAAAATAATTACTACAATTTTTTTTAAAACCACATTTTCTAAAAAAAATTTTTAAAAAACCCACGTTGTCAACAAATAAAATCTGCCAACAAATTAAACCAGACATGAAAAAATCGAATATTAGTTTACTCGGGCCAGAAGTAGAAGTTTGCTTTTCTGCTATAGTTTTCTTACTATATTCCTATTATAACAAGTAGTAGGAAACCATACTTAGACTTGCGGCCAAGTAAACTAATTACGATTTTTTCATGACTGGTTTAGTATGGAGACACGTTTTATTGTAGTATTTAATTAGTTCCTGTATTTTATAGCTTATGTTGAAACACTTTTTTTTTTACTTAGCGACCATTTACATCGAGTTAACGAAGCGTTTTTGTTGGGATTAATATAAACTAAAAATCCATTTAAAAGTCGTCATACTTAAAAAACGGGTGTGTGTGGTTATTTTTTAATGTCATTTTAATAGTTTAATAACCTCATGTTATTTTTTTTCAAATTTAAAAAATGCCTTAACTAATACAAACAGATTTTTAGGCAGAATAATAAGTGTTATGTTCTTAACACCAAAGTGATACTAGATCAGAATTTAAAGACTGAATATAAATTAATAAAGTTACCACACTATCGTTAGAAAAAAATAGTAATAAATGATCATACGATATATAGTGTACCTATATTATACTAGAATAAACAATAGTGAAAGAATCGAGTGTTTTATTTATTTATTTTTTATTTCATAAGAATTGTTTTACTTGCAACCTTTTTGATCACAAGTAGAAAATAATTATACATATCCAAAATGGTGTTTTCAATCAACGTATTTCACAAAATAAATAAAATATAATGAATAAATAATTAATAGAATATATAATTATTGCATTATATTAATGATCTCCCTAACGTTGGTTTATTATGATTATTTTACCTGATATAATACAAAATAATAAAAATGTTGAAATGGGATAAATTTGAATTTGAGACCATGGCGTATATTTTTTTTATTTTATTCTTAAATTACTTATTTTCTAAGTCTTATTTAAAATTAAGATTATATAATAGTGTAGTAAAGAGTTAAGAACCAAAAAACCAAATTAATGAAATGTTCCTCACTAAGTTAAGTGTTAAAAATTGCTTAAATTTCAAGACAATTTGCTTAAAACCCAAATACGCCTTATAAATATTGTATATTATAATTTTTAAGTTTTATATTTGCATTAAATAAATGAAAATAGTTTTATATAAAATAAATGAACTGTATTGCACAATCTACCCTTATTAGATTTAAATGTACTATATAGAGATGAAGTAGATTTGAATAAAAACAAAGATTTGTTTAAAAATGTATACATTATATATTACTTAATTGGCTAGGTTAGGAATAGTGTTATAAAGTGTATAGACCAATTAACTACTGGGCGGAATGCTCAAACTTTAAATTTGCCATAAAATAAAATTATGAAAAATATTCAAATCCACCTCATTATTCCCTATAATTTATGGGGCATAAAACATTTTTTTCAAATTTGACTGAGACATTCATTTAATTTGTTTTAAAACAGTTATTTAATGGTTAAAATTAGAGTCTATTGTTTTTTTTTTAATCGAAATCAAACAAGAATCTTACCCAATCTTTTAATACTAACTAGTATTGTAGTCGGTCGGTAATCACATAATTAATTAGTTTGTTAATTTTTTTTTTTCATTCCAGAGAAGGGTTTTATAAAGTTTGTAGAAACAGGTAATAATATAATAATACGGGTTCTCGGATAAAATGTTATTATATATTACTTTTCTTGCAGATGGCGTAAATCCAGAAAGTGATAAAAGTAAATATGAACTTTTTTAATTTAGTTTCAGGTAAAATTGTATTATTAAGTATTTTCATCGCAGGTAAACATCCAAATCAAGGGTGTATATTTATATATACTTGAGTTGGGGCATAGGGGTGATGGCTTATACTAGGATCAGGGAGGTCATAGTTTTTTTTAGAAATTATTATTACTGAAAGTATATTATTTACCTTTTAAATAAACATTCCCAACAAAATCTATGATAATAATATTCATAGACTTGCTAAATGAACAAATCGGTTATTTCAAATAAATACTTCTTAGCTGTGTTTGGTTTTTTTTTTTTAAATTAAACTTTTAGTTAAAGCTGTAATTTTAACCTAAATTTAATTAGCGCAGAGAGAGGGGAATGGGGTGCCCACGATTTGCTACTCCTATGGCAGAATATTTAAACACAGATATTTTAAAATTATGTAAAATGTTTTATATAATATATATATATATATATATTGTATTTCATTAAAAACGTTTATGCTTTACAGCTCCGTTGTTTGTTATAAATGAAAGGTGAGTATTCATATTGTTATCAACGCTTTACTTGAAAAAAACACTTTCGACTTGTATTTTTACAAGGTCAAAATCAGTTAGGCTACCAGACTATCATACTACAAATAATTGTAATAAACTTTTGTGGGGGTTTTAACAAATACAATAGTGTTAAGCTGGTTACCGTTTTCCATCGCTGATAATTAGGATATTTTTTATTAATTTATGGAAAAGGGGGACACTTTTTTAATTGTTGACATTACCTCAAGTGAAAGATTGGCTGTGCTAAACCCTATAGGTATCTCCTATAGGGAAATATATATATATATTTTTTGTTCTGCTCTGATATTTAAAAAAAAAATGTATAACTATTTTATTTTACTTGCCTATTAGTTACGATGATTGGGCCTACGTTGATATTATCAATAAGCTACTAGATAAGGATATAAGCAGTAATAATAGATACGGAAGACGAATTTATTTCGAAGTATCTAAAATGAAATTTGGAACTATAAAAGCTAATAGAGGATGATACATTTTGGGAAAAAAAGAAAATAAAACTTATTATTCTACAAAGCATGAATAAAATATTATAATTACAATTGTCGAATAATATAATACATATTTTTGAATTTTAAATAAACATAAAATTATAATAGTTTTATTTTTAATAACAATGTAATGTCATAATAATTAATAACACAATAAAAATATTTTAATCAACATATATATGTAATCATGTGTTTTTGGTACCTAATTTTCCTAAAAAAACTTCTTTATAGCTATTGCAAAATATAACATAAACCCTCAACCAGTTAGGTGCTTATTTTTGTATACGATATTTTTTTATATTTCTCTCTAGAGCAACTTTAGTCTAATCAGCCAAAACCGCTTGTTTCTCATTTTACCCTAGTCCCAAAAATCATCTGGAAATCTACCTTTATCACAGATTTACATTGATTTGAATATTTTAAACTATTACTTGACTTTATTTTATATTCTCCAAAAAGACAATAAGCACAAAAAAAAACATTACCTTTGTCATATAATTTTTTACCGTTGGTGTTAACACTTTTTGTCGTCTAACCTTGGCTTAATCAAATATACGCAAAACACATGTGATATTATACTTTTTCGCATCTCTATGTAACCAAATGTTGAAACTTTAATTTCAAATCGATCCCACTCAATACCAAGTAGATACATTTTGTGATTTATAGCGAATTGGTCCAATATTAAAAAAGTTACAACGCATATACAGACACAAAAAAAGAGCTCACATCATTGCAAAAACCAATAGCATCGCTGCTCCACATCGAAGTTATAAAATAGATCTATCAATTTTTAAATTTTGCTATTCGTGGTAAATTTTCAACAAATCGGTGGTTTCATTTTAGGCCACAATTTTCATAACTGTTTGATATACAAATAATATTAAATGAGAAAAAAAAACGTTATACACATTGCTGCTACGTACTAGATGGTATATTAGCAAACAACGAGTAAACGTTTTCAAAATTTTACCCAAAAACGTATAGCTGTAATTACAATTGTATGACCAAAATGCGAGTCTGAGTTTACTGTTTTTCGATAAATATTATTTTGACAGCATACGACTGACGATATTCTTTATCATCGACAAGATCACTATGATTGGACTCGTCTTACTTAAGACGGATATGTTAATTAATAAAATATATAACCAAAATTTCGTTATCATTCGTTGTCCTACTTTGATCTACAAAAAAAAAAAAAACTTTAAATCGAATTACAGAATTAAAAAACAAAAAAGTAAACGAGTCCTATTCATAAATACACTACACTGATGTTTTATGTTGTTTGTTAGACCTATCTTCAGACTAATTATCAGTTCTTAAATCTTAAAAATATGTCAACCTTTCTAGGAAGGGGGTGGGGGGTTGTCAACATTTCGGTTTTTCCGTGTGCGATTTTGTTGACAACACATTTTATATTGGAAACGCTAAGGTTATAATAAATTGAAAATATTTTCAAAAAAAAACATAAAATTTCGGCACTTGTGCCCACATGAGAATGTCTGAGTACATTTTTTTTGTATTGCATTAATGTACGACTACTGCCTGTGATAGTCCGTAAAACAAATAGTTACCTAAAGAGCCATTAAAATTGGGGTCGGCACTTAAGTTGGACCGAACTGACTGAATGTGATAACATCACTTCTAAAAATTGTCATTAAAACCTAAAACTTATGCTTGTGCGCTCAAAACTTACCGGGGCCACTCTAAATAGTATCCATTAAAAATATTGGCATGATTTGATAATTTTTTTTTAAACATTTAACATCTGCAAAAAACAGTTTTCCGGCAATTAAAAAAAAAAAATGTACTCCCGAATGTTTTTATTCGTCTAATTTGTTATGGATACATGACTAATTATGAGTTCTGACTCCTGAAAAATGTTTTCAACTAATGATACCTTATAATTACGGCTAAAAACACTTTGCACCCCTAAAAAAGTAGCAGTCTATACAGACGAAAAAAAAACCTACACCATAATGCAAAAATATTTTTGAGATACCAGCTGTTTACTGTTGATTCACCCTTACTCATTGCAACTGAAATCAGTAGGTACATATTGGAAAAACAATTTATAAAAGCTATCACTGTGTCTTGAATCAGGATGTGTGATGAAGTTTTTTGCGGTTAGGCAATCAAACGAAGCAAATACTGTTAATTTTGAAATGTCGATAGTGTTTTAAAATAGTATTTAAACAGCGAAAATTGTAATAAAAATGATTAGGATTAAAGGAAAGATAAACGGAAGAGGTTAAGACGAAAACAATTGGTGGTCGATAAAATAATTTTCATTAAAAAAAAGGCATAAAATTGTTAATGTGACATTGCCGCCGATAGTATATTTTGCTTAGTACAAATATGAAATGGGTATTGATAAAAGCACTGTGAAGGCAATAATGTACTTAAAATTAGCCCATAATTATTGCATACAACTAGTACGAATCATGTTTTCGAGAAAGTTCAATTTAACGATCAAAAACCTGCTCACAAATGATTAATTTTGATACTTTGCAATTATTTTTGCTACAAGCATCTGCTTGTTGTTTTAATTTTAAGCTACTTAGTTAAATCTCAGCCAGACACCAGAATTGTAGGTAATAGCTGTCTATGCCCACTCCACCGTTACCCAAACGACGGCACTAGTTATCATAAAAATTTAAATTATAACTTAATATTATATTAATGTAGCGAGTGAGGATGTTATAAAAAAATTGGCAAATCAAATTTAACCAGCATGACGCTAATAAGGATAGTTTAAGGGTTTTTCAGAAACTGTTATTCCAAGTCAATAGTTATCCATACTAGATATTATATTTAATTATTGTTAAAGCGACACAACAATGTTCTGCGTGTTATACAATCAGTTGACATAAATATTTTCTGGAGATGATCAAATTAGGTAATAAATTGTAGCCGCTAATGAAGATTTTGAATTTTTTTGCATTTTTCCATAATTTTGAATTTTTTTACTTATTTCCTTTATTATTATTATTTTTTTTTTTTTGTGTATTAAATTACAATAAAGAGAGCTTTTTAATGATTTATTTTTAAAACTTTTAGTGAATTACATAAAAAAAGAAAAGGAAGGTACTACATTTCACAATTTGCCTATAATATATATTTTGTCCCGAGACGTATAAATTTGTATTTGTGTATCGTCAGCCGTAGCAGCTGAATCGCAAAAAAAAAAAAAGAAGACTCGCATGATAAGTATACTTTAATCACTGACAAACTAAGGCCATCGTATATATATATATGTATAGAAATCGCGTTTTCAATTGTAATTTTAATGTTTATTGAGTTCGGCTAACGTGTGGGAACAACTGACGGTGGATTTTTATTCAAATAATTGGTGGTCAATTGCATTTTTTAAATTTAATTAGATTAAATTGTTCAAATAATAATACCCCTTGTATTGTCAACATGTTTTTAATGAACTCCGTGGTATAAAGAATGGAATAACAAAACACACATAAGACATTTTTACCAGATTACCCGATGCAATAAAAAATTGAATAATCTTTTTGGAAACTCTTATTGGAATTCATTATATGCGATTGAAAATTACAGTCTGGCCAATAACATGATATCGCTAGTTTGACGTATCAGTCGAATGACTCTGAAAGAAGTTTCACTTCATCCTTGCGTAGTGGTTTTTTTTTTTATTAAATTATTCTTGCCTAAGCGTTTACTCGAAAACATAATTCTTTTACTTTAGAAAAACACTTGCGTGATTCGATGTGCGTTAAAAATTTTGCACTGTTTGCGTAAATGAAACGCAGTGCTCGTTTGTGTTGAAAATATTACACAAAGCCAAAAGACTGGCCAACACGACTTGTTGACGACTTTTTTAAAGTTATGATAAAACCTAACCTGTGTGAATCATTTTTTACCATACAATGATATTTCATTGTGATTTTTCCGCCCTTGGGTAACGGGATTTAGGGAGGGGTGATTTTGGAATCTCTTACAGCAACCTCTATATTAATTTGTTTAGTTATGCTTGTTAAGCTATTTTTTTGGTAAAAGCGAATTTGACTGAACTTTAAAGTTTATAATGTCAATCAAAAGATCCGGAGCCTTTTGAGATATTGAAAAAAACAATTTAATTTCTACAATAACCGTAAAGCGTTTGATGAAAGACTTTAAATAAATTAGTTAGATAAATTGGGTTAACTCATCAGCAGTTTATATAAATATATATGGTGGAGATTGTCCACCATACGCGAGTGCTACCACCGGCACAACTTTACATTAATCTAATTGTGTTTTACTTTCATACTGAGGTATAACAATTACCAATTTAATATCAGTTCTCGATTTTAATCAGCCAGAAAAAACTTAAGTAAAAAAAAAAAAAATTGAATTTGTGTAAACTTAAAGTCAAAAGTGGTACTTGAGCACAAAAGGAATTGCACGTGGTCTGATTTTAAGGAGTTTTGAGAGGCAATATTTAAGAAAAAAGAGGTTAAAATAAATTTCGACCATTCCAATACTTTTACCGGTTAATTTGTATAAGATTCGAGGTATTGTTTTTAAAATAATTTTTTTCATGAGTAAAGGCCATTTGGGTTTTATTTAGACCAAAAATGCAGACAAAATGTCGACTAGGTACATAGAATGGTCCAACTTCAATTCTGTAAAGAGATTCGAGTTCTTCGGCTAGTTTATTATGTTATACAGGAAGCCCGATTTCATTAAAACAAATGTCAGTTTCTTGTAATTAAACAAATAAAATTTGCAATTTGTTCAATATTAAAAACAAAAATAGTTGTGAAAAATTGAGATCACATTGTATAAAAACAATATGAAAAAATAAATTTGAATTTCTTATTAAACCCTATGAGATACTGAGTGGTTCATGATAAAAGAATCACCCTGTATATGCTGTGTAAAAAAAATTACACTGTTTTATTTTTCAAAACAATTTTCTATGTGATATTTTCTGTCGTTACGATTTTGGGTGGCTCGGTGGCAAACATCCGAAAGAAAAACAGCTCATCGCAAAACCAAATGGCATGGGCCTACGTTAGATTGGTAGGTACAAAATACAATATTGCCATTTACTCTGCGCCGATGAAAAAAGCCAGAATAACAAGTCATTGTACGGGTAAAAAACACTTTTTATTCATATACATGCGTGTTACGTGCGCAAGGGACATGAAAAATAAAAAGTGTTGTGCTAAAAATTTTCTATAGAATCAACCACACAGTCATGTCATGTTAAACAAATAGTCTACTCTTTGGTAGAATTTTTTGCGTTCGTGCAGTGAACTGTAGTGTGAATTTCTTTGACGTATATTAATATTAAAAAAAAAAAATTGTTTGATCCAAAACTCTTTACTATACAACTGCCTGTTATTGAGCATAAGAATCATTGTGTAGTAGATTTCAGATAAAGTCGGTAGCCTTATTCAAAGCGAAAACATATTAATACAATGATGAATATAAAATATTTTATTTTATTATGTCTGACAATTTATTCTCCATCGGTTTACAGCGATATCATAGATGACGTAAATATAGTTTTTTTCCAACAATTACTAATAGTAATAATATTCGTATGGCTTATTCGACCGGGAGGGCTATAGCTACAATTATTATTACTTATACATATTTTGCAAATCATTTGTATTACATTGCGTACAGTAAACTAAACGTTTAACGTGTACCTACGGTATTCCACTATTGTTAAATCTGTTAAATATAATTGTACCTTAAAAGTAACTAATTATTTTTAAAGTTTGTCAAAAAATAAAAAATAGTATGTACCGGGCGATTGGTTAACTATGGACCAGTCAATAACTTTTTTCGTGAATTTATTTAACTATACATTTATTGGAATTATTCAGTTTTCTGTCAAGTTTATCACGTCAATGATTGTTCGATTTATGTTGATCTCTAGTTTAAACGAATTTAAATTGTATCATCAGTTTTTCATGTGTAACGACGTGTAATGATATTATGTGTAATTAAATTTCAGGCCATAGATCGCACTTTTGGAAGGATTTTAGAAGATATCAATAAACGCCAAACTAATGTAGTTCAACGAAATGGCATTACTTTGGCACAGTTTGTGAATTATGTGAGCAATGTTACAAATAGCAGAGCTGAAGTGCTGAGTGTGATACATAAACAATTTGGTGACAACGTGTCATTTTCAAGTAAACAATTATTTTACTTCATTTATCATTAAACATTATAATTTTTAAGAAACTATTTATTAGTGATGGGAATCGGAAAATCCGGATTTTCACAAAAAAAACGCTATTTAAGCTACTTAAAAATCATATAAGTGTTAAATAATTTTACAATATAAAGCTCTATATCTAAGTAACATTTTTTTGATAAATATGTGAAAATAAAACATAACACCAAAGAGATAAACTGCTTTTGAATTTCGGATTTGTTGAAATCCGGAATCCGAAATCCGAAAGCATTTTATAGACAAAGTTAAGAGTTTTTTTTTAAAAATTTTATCAACAGATTTTACTTAGATACACATCTTTATATTGTAATAGTATTTAACAATTATATGATTTTCAAATGACTTAAAAAGCGTTTTTTTGAAAAATCCGGATTTTCGGATTCCCATCACTACTATTTATATTATGGAGTTAACGTAAAATAGAAATGGTAATGTAGTTGTGAAAAATTCCTCGCATTTAAAATTTTTTAGTCAGTTGTGCGGTGTTAACTGCTGTTTGTATTATAACAATTTAAATAAATTGATCTTTCGTTTTTAAGTTAAAGAAAGTTTTTTTTGTTTCAGATGTGATAAATCAAAACGAGTTTAAATTATTAATGAAAGATATCTGCCATAAATTCAGGACATCAGTAATAAGCTACACAGGCCTTATAGACAATGCAATATTCGATGGAACAATAAATGATTATTTAAATCTTTGATAAATTGACAAATGTTAATTTTCAACCTAATTAAATGTTTTTAAAACGTACAATTATTTTAATGTATTTATTTATTTAATGTTTATTTAAAATTGCTTTTAAATAAAGTCTTCGGTGTTAAAATTAGTGATGAAAATATGTAAACTAATTAAGAATAGCTTGTGGGAAGCAATTAATAAAGTTTTAAAATCAAATTAAATGATGTTGTTTCGGTTTTTAGATGCATATTTTTTTACATGTAATTGCGTATACAATAGGTGACTATTTGAACAAGTACACTAAACGTCACAATATTATCAAAGTACATTTTTTCTCTTATTTCAATAGATAGTTTTAATAGCACAAGACAAATAGAAAATAAATATACAATTACTGAACACAATAGTAAAGATATTACAATATTGGACAGAAAATATCCAAAAGGTTTTATGGGAATTTAAAAAAACCAATACAGTGAGTTTGGAGCATAAGTATAATAAAATAGTCAATAGCCGCGTTAGAGGGATTCAAAGTGTCATGCGACCAATTTTTCGTTTCTATGTCACAGTTATTAATTTTCCTAATGCTTTGACACACTAGGGTGAGTTAATTTAATGATTCAATGAGAATTAAAAAATAATAATCATATAGTACTAATGATAAATTAGTTTACAATGTTCAATACAATCTTCATGTCTATCTAAAATCGTAAAACCATTTAAATACTAAAGACTAATTGAACATTTCAATGAGTTTAATTGCATTTTAATAATAAACAGCTGAAGTACATACATACAATATAACATAAAAAAAAACGATAGCATATTAGTATCAATTAATTTTGTTTACAATATTTTGAAGTAATATTATACAATGTAGATGTAACAGTTTGTGTCAACCATTAGAGTCACTTTTTATTGATATTTTATTATTTGTTTGGACCGTGAACAAGTACATGTATGTAAAGTTAAGTTAAAGAACAACACTGGACGTTGGATATAAGAAACCAGAACAGTGGGTCACATCAACAATTAATGTATTTATACTACTATATTCAAAAAGGATTCGACAACGTACTTATAGCAGTATTCTTTACAACATTGTTAGTAAAATCTAATATATTATAGTGTTAATAAATTACTAGGTACGTCTGTGAGTAAAAATCCCTCGCAGATCTTCATCAAAGGTAGTGGATTGTATAGATATTATGCTACTGACGATAATAATATCAGGAACTCAGGCTATTGAATCTATATTAATAAACACAACTACCTTTATAACGGAAACTACAAAAAATTCCAAAATAATAATAACGATATAATCTGATGGTGGATATTGATATTAATTGCTAATTGGGTACCGATCATTCCAGTCTCTGTCAAACTCATGATCGACATAGCAGTTTAAACGTAACTGTCGTCCGCACTAACGATCGATCAACTAATGCTATAAGGAATCCTAAATCAGATTTGAACTCAAATACAAATAAATTATTAACAACAAATTGTGTAAATTTTAAGACAGTAATTTAATTAATTAAAATTTAAGTCATTTAATATGTTTAACTCTAAATTGAGTTCAAAAAATGGTATTAATATAAAAAACGTAGAATTACAGGCGAATACCATAACAATAATTCAGTGTAACATTATTAAAAGTAATGATAGGTTGATATGTTGGGTATAGTAAGTTTTCTGCCTTGTCAACCAATAGCCATTGATTTTTTTCTCTGTCATATCTTTCACAATGAACTTCTCCTCCATTATTCACGAACACGTATAAGTCGTTTTTCACGATACCAACACCTGCGTTTTATAATATTTATTAATAAAAAAAAATGTAATTTATACTCAATTCAATAAATACATACTTGCGCAACCCAATTTACAATCCATGGTCATGTTAGGCATTTCATCAAATTTGAAATTTTGTAAATCGAACTTAATAACTCGTTGTACACATGATTCATCAGCACTACCACCAATGAGATAAATGACGTTTGCTATTCTTGATAAACTCATACCCAAATTACACTTCGGCATTGGTTTGAGTTGTTTCCAGTGTTTGTTTTCAATATCATAGCATTCTACAGTTGCAAGAGAACCACGTTTAGAAACACTTTGTTCATTACGTCCACCAAACTACCGTACAAAACCATAAAACTTGATTAAAATGCTTACAAACCATAATAGCTTGTTAAAAGAATATTGTGTTTACTTACAACATATAATTTATTATTAAATGCTGCAGCACTGCACTGGGATCGAGCAGTGGGCATTGGTTCAGTAATTACGGTCCATACTTTTGAATTTGTATTATAGTATTCTACAGAATTCCAACTTTTCCGATGCGAGTAATCACTGCCTCCAACCTATATCATATGAATGAAAAATATTTATATTTTCTTGTGTACAATGTGTATTTGTTATGTTAACTACAGTCAAATTAATACTTACGACATATATGTACTGTTTGTAAGTACACACACCAAATGCTCTTCGTGGTCGGTTCAATGGCCTTGTAGAGACCCATTGTTTTGATTCTGACTTAAGATCAAGCTCGTCTACAAGATTTACATCAACATGGTACTCGTTTGTACCACCAATGGCAAGTATTATCCCGTTTTCAGTGACTACCATCGTTGCGTCTTTACGGGGAGGCAAAAAAAAAAAATGCTCGCTTGATTTCCATCTCAAGTCACTATCGTTTCTAATATCCATATACTTTACAGAGGAACCGCCACTGTTTGAATCGCCGGTAATTGCAAAAATAATCTGAATACACATATATACAAATGTCAGATGATATAAGCACTAAACTAGTACACTTATTGTGTACCTGTACCGTGTAAAAATTTAGTTTTAAAATGTCTACATACATTTGATGATTCAATTTGAGTACATCTTCCAAGAGTAACTGGCGGTTTTGATTTGATGTAAGTTTTGGTGATATTGTCTAATATGCCTCTCATAACTAATAAAGCATAACAATAATAATATTTATTTAAAAGACACATCATCAATATATTTCACCTATAGGCGCTATTGTATGTACAAGTAAAGGGCAACAATTTAGATTGAATGCACCCTCGATTGAAATATCAACAGTATATACGTACCATTAGTATTATTTCCCACTAATGGATGATTATAAATCCTTTGTAGTCCTTTTTTTGAAATTGAAGGTAAACGTAAATATTTCATAAAATTCGGTAAAAAGCCATTACGTTCATCTGTGTTATATCGTATCCAATTAATGATAAAATCAAATATCTATAAAAAAAAAAATCTTAACTTAATATTAAATAATTGTAATAGGACCAACATTCAAATGAGTAATTTTTTTTATTCCTTTTTAAGTTACAATAATTATACCTTTTCCTCAGAATCAATTACTAAATCATCGCGTGCAATAAACTCGACAACATCATCAAACTCAAAGTCATAAAGTGTTTCTAACGCTTGATCCAATGTCACAATTATACTAAAAAAAATATTTTTTTATTATTTGATAATTTAAATAATGTTGCGATCATATGTCGCACCAGATTACTCACTAGAAATATTTTAAAAAATATGACCAACAAAAATTGTAAATCTTTTTGTCTGATATTAATTTGGACTTTTTCATAAAACGCACACAATTTGTAGGATTTATGTTTTCTTTAATATATTCGCCACACAATTTTCTTATACCACTTACATCATACATTTCGGCAGCCATCAATAGTTTCTAAAAAAAAATAATATTATTAGGTAAATAACAATAGAATTATAACAATATATTTTATAAACTGTACATCCTATTGCGTGTTTTCTACCTCGCAATTGTTTTCTTTAACATCCAGTTTATAAGTATATGCAAATTCGACCACCAATTCTAAAATTGTAGAATCTATTTCTTTTATAAGAATCTCATTTTCGTTTTTCTCTTTAAAATGCCCGCTGAACATCTTATAAAACACATGACTCGCAGAAGCCAATATATTTCTGTGTGCTTCAATTTTTAAGCCTTCATCAGTAACCAAAGTTACATCACAAAATTCTTTGTGCCTATAAAAATAAATCAGTATTAATTTATTTATTTGCATTAGTAATTATAAATGACTACAAGATTCATATTTTAATAAAACGTTTTCTGAAAAGCAATATTAAAATATGCAATAAGTATACATAAATGTGGAATAAAAAAATTATCTTAAAATACTGTTTCTCAAAAAAAATATTTTATTGATAATTATGAAAATTAAATAAATATCGATAATAGTGTTTAAAAAACTATTTTTTTCTCGTTTTTTCGTAGTGTAAACCAAAAAAACAAAATTTAATTAGACAAAGCTCTTGAAATAGCCAAAGTATACGTTTAAATATTTTGAATATGTAAAAAAAAATGATCCATCATTTTTAAATGAGGGATTTGAATTTTTAAGATTTTAAAATTTAGTAACATTATTTGTTTTTTTTTTTTTACAAATAAAGTACATTTTTAATATTATTGTTTCATCTAATGTAATAATAGCAAAAGTATTTACCCCAAAAAGTTTTATATATTTATGTATAAAGGTGATCATTTAATCGTGAACCACTCAATATCGCATAGGGTATAATAAGAAATTTAATATTTTTTTCCATAATTTTACCCCCCTCCAAACTTACTTTTTTTGATAACAGCTTTTCAAAGGCTTAAAGGGTAACGCATACTTTTCATTAACGTTTTAAATTAAGAATAACGTACTTACATTTTTGACTGGTCGATAACCAGTTTTGGATTAATTACTGTTGAAGTTATCAGAGTTTAAAAGATTAAGGCAGGAGGAAAGGTGGAATGTAGTATTATTTTAATCTGCGCGCACTTCCCTTCCTGTCCTAACTTTTAAACTTTTATAAATTTAAAACAGGTTAACGACCAGTCAAAAACTTAATTACGTTATTCTTAGTTTAAAAAGTTAATAAATTTAATGTGTTACTATTTTAGTATCAAAAATACAAAGTTTAAAAATTATGAAAAATTAAGATCACATTGTATAAAATGTCTAGGGGTGTGCTGCTGCTAGAACTGATACTAGATATCGGACGATATTAGTGGTACTTGCTTTATTGGTATCGTTTATTTTTTTTTGGAAAATCTGATATTTGGACCGATACCAAAAAAATAATCAATAGTACGTAATATGTAATAATGGTTTTATCAGGTATAAGTTTGTGATATTGGTTTTGTTTTAATACTGATTCTAATATTGAGTGGTTCACGAGAAAAATTATCACCCTGTATGATTAAGTAAAAAGTGCATAATTATACCCCAGGACTTTGCTATATTATATAAAAGGCCACAATTAAAATACAAACGTTAAACGGTAATAAATAATACTTGTACAAAACTAATCAATTAATGACTTACTTATAGAATTGATACATTCTTTCAAAGTGTTCTTGCGTATTAACTTCCATAATTGTTTTGCTTGTATATAGATTATAGATATACTTTTTCTGTGTCTGGTTGTTAACTAATTGTAAAATTAGCTTACCTAAAACATATATAAGATACAAAATACAATTAATTTTCTATTAAAAAGACAAGGTAAAATAAAAAGTTTACAATCAAACACAACAAATTGCCTGATTTTAAATAAAACTGTACCTCAAATGGTTAACGAGAAAAAAAATCATGTATGAAATTAAAAATTATGAAATTGTAGTTCTAAGTACCTTGCTTGTATATAGTTATTTGTTTTCAGGTGTGAAATTGTTAATACGTAAATGAAGTTTTAAGTTTTCAGAAACATTACCTGGGTCTAAGAATACTAATCCAAACAAATTCTAAGCCTATTATTAACTATGGTTCAAATCTAATAATCTACAACTAATTAATCACAACGCCCTTTCTCATCACCTGATATCAAATAGTTTAGGTATATACAATTTTAAATTATTTAAAATATTACAAAGTTTTTCCTTATTTACCAACTAGTTATTTTAATGTGTCTTAAGGTAAGTATTAGAGCTTATAAGATTAGTGTAACAGTCAAAATGCTTTAAGAACCAGTGGATTTTATTTAATTACTACTATCTGACCCTAGCAGCTCTTATAAGCCATTGGGCTTATATATTAACAATCATCCATTAAGAAAAATTAAAAAAAAAGAACCCAACACATGAAACTAACATTTTGACATTATTTTATTTTGTTATTGTTACTCAATCATTCAGTAAAATACTCGGAATTAAAAAAATAATTTTACATTTTCAAAAATAACAAATTAGGTATAACGGAACAGTAGAAATGGTTTTAATTGAACAGTGAAAAGAAAAAGAATATCCTGGATGCAAAAGTTGAATGAAATACAATTTGTCATTGAAAATCCCGTAAATACATAATCTAACTTGCTATTAATATGACATTTAAATAAACGAGTCTATAGTATATTTCTTATTTGTATCGTTTGTTTAAAGCAAAACATTTGTAAATTTATGAATATTGTTCATATTTACAAACTATAATAATTGTGCAACCACTTACGCCTTTAATTTTTCTATTTTGTAGTAATCTTAATAACCCGACAGCATAATTTAACAAACGATAGCTATCTTAACAACAAATAATATTACAAATTAAAAAAAAACCAGGATTATTATGAAAAATCTTTAAGTTACATAACGTTGATGCCATCATGTTATCGATGCGCCGTTGTATTGGCCAAACAGACGATAAAGATTAAATCTAGACGATAGACCATTTTGCCGAATAGATTAATTTAAAGTGGCGTTGATCCTGTGTCATTCACCGAACTCCGAGTAAATAATAAGTAATAAACAAACACATACCTATAGATTATGATTATATTTATTCACAAACAGAATTCTAAGTCAATGGAAGACAGACAACACCGCAATAATGTAAATAAATTAGAAATATAAAATGGTAGGTACTCACACAACGTAGAAACGTAAACCGCTGTCAAGGGCTGCTACTAAAAACTTATAATAAATGAATTACATGCAAGACAAAACTCAATATTGTAAATTGCAAATTAAAACGAAATAACGAAACACGACGCAATGCGTTAGGTTACTCATCATAAAATTCAACTAAGTTATAATGATTGAAATCTAAAGATTTTCACGAATCGGACCCGTAGCAAAAACAATGAAAACAAATTGTTTCTATAGCGCTAAATCTATATTAACTAGTAATAATTCACAGAAATTCAGAGTGTACAAAACGAAATCTCAATTATTAACAACAACAAAATTTCTAGGTTTGTTTACACAGAAATTTTAGAGAGACAGATTTGTGATATTGTGTGTTTGTGTGATAACGGGTAATTGCCACAGGCGTAGGTACGAAAACACGACAAAACGTCGCCCGACAAAACGTCACTCTTAACAAAAACTGCCTCTTAGTAATGTCAACACTAACCATAATATGTGTATACCGGGTGATTGGTTAACAGCTATGGACCAGTCAATAACTTAGAAGATATTAAAATTTATTTAATTATTTTTTTTTATAATTTTATAGTTATCAGTTGGACAAATTTAATAAATTTTTGAAAAATACAACCCCATCCCTTATACGTTAAAACCGTATGAACTTGAGAATTTTAAATGGTAACGTATACATTTTATTAACTTTTTAAATCAAGAAAAATTTGCTGAACATTTTGACCGGTCGACAACCAGTTTTGGATATTTAGTGTTCAAGTTATTCAAGTTTAAAACTCAGGACGAGAGGAAGGGTAAAGAGTAGATATGTTTTTATCAACCGCCTTCCCCTCCCGTCATAACTTATAAAATTGTCAAAACTTATAAACTCATGTTTATAAGATTTTAACATACAAGGGACGGAGTTATAATTAAAACAAATATATTAAATTTGTCCCAACTAATAACAATAACATTATAAAAAAAAAAAATAATTAAAAAAATTCTAATATCTTCTAAGTTATTGACTGGCACAATTTGCTGCCAGTATGACATATTATTAAGGAGTAATTATTTCACATTTTATTCATTAATGTGCCAACGACTCAAACGAGGCTGTTTTTATAACGTTTTTATTAAAAATTATTTCCAGGTGGCATTTTGAAAGTCGGACAAAAAGTCACAATGTATATTTTTCGCCACAAAAAAAAAACCGATATTTTATTATCTCTAGAAAAACTGTTTACCTATTATCTTTGTTTACTTTTTAAACGCATGAAGGTATTACCTATTTATATTTTTAGTGCGTATTGCAAAGTGTATAGGTGTAAAATGGAAGTTATTATTTAAAAGGAACGAAAAAAATTATACACAATAATTATTCGTATACCAAACAACACATACTAGTACATTTCATTCGACGGGAATGTTCACAAAAAAGTTTTAAAAAAATAACTTTCATCAATAGACGTAAAAGTTCAAAAAAAACTTTTGTACATAAACATGTATAAATAAAGTTAAATTTTTACTTTTATTTATAACAGTTAATAAGGTTCATTCACTTAATTCTATCAGCTTTAACGATATAAATTAATTGTACCGCCTTTAACATTTACATTTAAAAACATAATTGATAACAACCAACATGGTTTTAGGGGGGGGGGGGGCGTTCAGTAGAAACTAATTTACTTTGTTTCTATAATTTCCTAGTAACTTCTATGGAATCTGGTAAACAAACTGATGTTATATATATACTGATTTTAGAAAAGGCTTTTGATTCGGTAAATTATTCAGTGCTGATTGCAAAATTAAAATTGTATGGTACAACTAAACCACTATCAATCGCGTTTTTGTCCCAAATTTGCAATTCCATTCCATCGTACATCCTATGGGATAGTGTAATTCAATGATAAATTTCAATTTGTTTAATGTTAGTGAGTAGGATATCCTTCAAACCCAGCCATTCAATTAAATGGCTGAATAAACACTATTCAGCCATTTAATGTTTTTTTATTTATGTATATTTTTTCATGTAATTTGGTCGTTAAGTTTAGGTTCTTTGTTATATTTTATTTAAACGAATTCTACAATTTACTTGTTCTTGTCTATTAACTATTATGTTAACTGTTAAGGCATTAATCGTAAAATAATATTCCGTTACTAACTATACTTGAGCCATCTTGGGCGTTTACCCTAAATAAATAAATAAATTGCAGTAAACATGTAATATAGTTTATATTTTGTAAAAAGGTTACATCCCAAAGAGAAAACATAAAAAAATTAGATAATACCGACTTTAAAACAGATTTGTCAAATGTCACTAAAAGTGCTATCGGTCCTTATAGGCGATGTATAATAAGATATAATAGGGTTGAGATGTTTAATAAAATCTAACATAATATTAATAATAAAAGGACTGAGGACATAGATGTCAAATCATATAAGAGACGGGAAGGTTAAAGGTGCTTAGGAGTAAACTATTTTACTTTGTAAATGACGGGACTACTTTTTGATATTTCATCCAAGATTTGTCAAACCTAAATAAATGCTTACAAAATATGATAGCAAAATGATTCATTATTTCATCAAAACTATATGTATATGTGACAAACTACATGTATAATTAAAAAATAATAAATAAATCAATATACTCGTGTTCCAGGAAAGAAAAAATCAGAAACGATGCAACAAACTTCGTCCCTAAAAAAATTATTGAAACCTGAAAGTAAAAATATACTATACATTTTTTTACAAACGAATCCAGTCAATTTAACAGCAAAACAGTTATTTGAGATGCGATACACTAGATAAATATTTGTATATCAAATAATTACAAGTGAACAACAATAATGTAAATTTGATTTTTTACCTATTAGTAAAGTTTAAAAAAATTTTTAAAAAAATGATCATGTATCCCACATTATTTTTATTTTATGTTACTATTTTTCAATATTTTTTGTCTGGTCCGAGAATTATGATTTTTTTGTTTAAAAAATAAATATAATTTCCAGAAATACAAATGACAAACTCCATAACTTAAATGTTTTTTCAATAATTTTTATCCGACATTTATTGATTATAATTATATTGTTAATTACTTGATGTCGACATTTTGTACGGTACTGCCGTTCTCGCATCATCATCATCATATTTAAATTCGGGCGGGTTAACATTATAACCAATTGGTATACTTTCAAGTAGTGCTTTTAAATCCTCAAAGGATATACCATCTTGCTGGTGACACGAGTATTCATTGTACAGTTCATTTATCACGCCCTATTGTTTTTTAAATAAAAACTAGACATTAAAATTTTTTAATAAAATTTTAAAAAAATTGACTAGTGTCGGGCGATAAAAATTCACTCAAAAAAATGTTCAAGCATAACATTAATTCTCCTAACAATAATTTACATTTTTTTACAATTCATCAAGAATATTTCAAAATTAATTTCAATCTGTTTTAAATAAAATAGTCGAATTTTGGAATATATCTAGATATATATGTAGATAATATACATATAACTTAACGGGCATTGTTATCTTTTTTTTTTTATTTACCTTCATTGCCTGATTTAATAATTTACAATTTAGGAGTTTTTTGACGTATTCATTACACTCCTCCAATGAGTATCTATAACCTGAAATTTCAAAATATTGCACATTTTTATTAACCAAATAGGACAAATATTTTAACTCGAAGAATTGAAAATAATAATGCGTAAAATTAATAATAATGTGATATTAGGTATATTAGACTGTTTTATCAAAATTTATAATGTACTATAATCTATAATGTCCTAATATAATAGGACAAATATTTTTAAAAAATTATTTTATTATCTAACATTTTGGTAAAATAAATTTTTCATCATCAAAAGAAGTCCCCCTAATTTCTAATTTTGTTCTGGTTTTAATTTAATAAAATAATTTACACCTATGTAAATGACAAATTAAAATATTAACTGATTAAATGTAATAAATGAATTGATAATTAAAATGTTTTTTCAGTATTTTTTGAATAATTTACATATTATTAGTTTATTGGATATTTGTCTACTGTTTATTACGTGATCCTTTCTCTTTCAGTTCTTCAAGACTGAAAGGTTCATAGTGTCTGTTGAGTTGCCCTGCTACTAATTCAATGATATCTTTTACACCTTGTAAGTCTATTTTCCAAAATTCATAGTCATTACTAAGGCCCTTGGATCTCCAATATTCCCAGACAGTGGAAGTAATAATATCCTATTATTTTCAGAATAAAAATTAGACATTAAATTGTGTATTTAAATTTACTCGTACAAATCAAAAACGGGGTTTTCAGAGTAAAAACATTAATTTCATTGTAGTTACCGCATTTTACTAATTGTTATTATGTAATGTTTATAAGTGTAAATGTCACTTGGTAAAGTTAGAGCATTAAATAAATTATCCAAGCAAAATGCATTATACATTTTGCAAACAGGTAAACGAGAATCGCTGAAGTTTCTATAAATCGTAATTACTAAGCGCTTATTATACTTACAACTTGTTCTTCAGTATGGTCATCACAGTGACATTGTAAAAAATATAATTCCACGCAAAAAAACAGTATGACAATTTTTAAATACATTTAAAATTTTTAAACAATACACTTGGATTCAATATGTTTAAATTATTAGTTTTGGAAGGAAAAACTGTTTTGAAACTATTCGACAATAGTACATATAATAATACTTATGTCGATTTTATAATGAAACGGGAGTGCTGTATCTTTTTGAATTATCGCATGACTTTTTATAAGAAAATTTACTTCAGAAATGAAACGGTTTCAACACTGTAAATATTGAACTGTGCGATTTCGCTGTAAACAACGTCGTTTACGAACGTTCTTATTTGTGTTGTTTGTCATTTTTAAGACACGCACTGTCTTACTGTGTTATTTTTTATGTTTTAAAAAAATTGATTTTAATATTGAAAAAAATTGCAAATTTAGTTTTATCAACTACAAGAAACTGAAATTTTTAAACGAATATTGACTTCGCAACGTAACCTAGAAAAGTAGCCAAAGTACTCGAATGTCTTTACAGAATTTGTGCAGTCGACATTTTGTCTAGCTTTATGGTCTAAAATAAAACAATATTACTGTTAGTTATAGGAAAAAAATATCTAAATTAAAAAAAATACTTTGATGATTATACAAGTTAACCGGTAAATAATTTGACATGGTCGAAATTGATTAAAACAACATTTTTCTCAAATATTGCCTATACAAAACTCCTTAACGCATGCAATCCACTTAAATTAATGAATAGAACCGAATTTTTATT